TCATTTTTACTTAGAAATTCACTTGTTCCTGGGAGTTATATTAGCATAGTGTAGAAGAAGGGACATTAGTTTCGGAGTCTGGGAACGTGAGTTCTTGGCCTGACTCTAAGTGGGTATGTAGCATTGGAAATTCACTTAGTGTCTCTGGGCCCTCAGTTTTCCCATCTATAAAATGGGAAGGCCAGTTGGCTGATCGCTGAAGCCTTCTCTGGTCTGTTGAATGATAACACCAATAATGATGCTGAAGTATTTTGGGAACTGTGGGGGTAGAAGGCTATTAACCCAGCTTGCTTTTAAGCTTAGCAGAAGAACAAATGGCTCCAAGGCATCTATTAGACCTTTTGCATAATTGAGTATATCCTGTAATCAGTGCTAACAAAAAAGAGCTAATCTTTCATTAAATTAGTTTTTAATTTAATTCTATGCTAATTTAATTTTGCATCACTTAAAATGTATGTTTTTAAATGGATGTTTACATGCTGTTGCAGGCAGCTTTGAAATTAATTCATTCTTTGCTTAACCTGCTGCAGCCTGAGCACCCAGTATTCCAGTTCCTTGGCAATTGTTGCCAACACAAGTCTCTTAAAGCATTTCTTAGGTTCCCTGGTGATTTGGTTGAATGCTTAAAAGAGAAAGAAAAAAAAGCAAGACAACAAACAACTTGCTGAATGAAGGGCTAAATGAGTAAGGTGTATGTGCAGTTAGAATTGGGTGCTGCTATGGAAATAAAAGATCTTTGTTAAGTTACCCTGTTAGAAGTCTTACTTTTCTTTAGCATCATGGTTTGTTAGTGGGTTTCCTGTATCTACCTGGAGCTCCAAGAACTGAGCATGCATCATGAGAGGACTTGGACTGAGGAATTTTGCACCTACCTGGTGGTTACCTAATGTCCAAAAATAAAGAGTTAAACCATCTCTACTAGGTATCAAGAAAAACCTCTGTTTGTTTGTAGCAAATGTGGCTGGCATCGGCACCTGCCCTGGTTTTCCAGTCTGTCTGGGTGGATGGATGCGGGTGGCCACAGCTGTTAAAGTGATCACAGCCCCACTTTCTTCCTTTGCTGGCGCAGACAGCCACCTGTGGCCCTTTTGTGGATTTCTACTTCCAGCAGAAGACCAAGGAATCCAGGGCCCCTCTTTCAGGGAGCAGCTCAGGCCGTCCCTCCTCTGTGCTGGCGTCGGTCCCAGCTTCCTGCAGCTGGGAGGTGGGAGGAAGGCGCCCGGGTTTGCTGAGGTGGCAGGATCTGCGAGCTGCCTGAACCCGCGCGCTGTCTAGCTCTTGGCCTGCTGCCCTCAGATTGGCTAGCCCAGGAAGCTCTGCTCCTGGGAAAGGAAGCCGGGGGAAGCGGTATGAGGGTGCTTCCAGAAACCACTTCATGCTTTCAGGGATTCTCCTCTTAACAGTAACGCCATGTTTCAAGAACCTTCTTTGTGTGTGTATGACAGGTGGGAACTTTTGAGCGGCCCTCAGATTCGAGCAGTCATTCTGGAGGAAGAAATGAGGCCACTTGGGGTTCTGGATCTGCTCCCAGAGAACAAAAGGCAGAGTGAGGCTCTGTCTCCTTGAACCTTGAGCCAATTAAATCTGTGTTTAGGGGGCCAGGCACAGTGGCTCATGCCTATAACCCCAGCACTTTGGGAGGCTGAGGTGGGAGGATTGCTTGAGCCCAGGAGTTTGAGGCTGCAGTGAGCTCTGGAGGCACCACTGCATTCCAGCCTGGGCAACAGAGCAAGACCTTGTCTTTATTTAAAAAAAAAAAAAATCTGAGTTTGGAGGCCTGGAGTTGGGACGGGGTGTGTCAGTGCCATCCCCACTTTAACCTTCCTGAAGGCCACAGTAGGCATCTACTAAATGTCTTCAAGCAGGGGTCTACAAACCTTTAAAAGGACCTCCTTTTTTTTTTTTTAAAGAGTCTTACTTTGTCGCCCAGGCTGGAGTGCTGTGCTGCAGTCTCGGCTCACTGCAACCTCTGCCTCCCAAGTTCAAGCGATTCTCCTGTCTCAGCCTCCAGATAAGCTGAGATTACAAGCACCTGCCACAATGCCAGGCTAATTTTTGTATTTTTAGTAGAGACGGGATTTTATCATGTTGGCCAGGCTGGTTTCGAACTCCTGACTTTAGTTGATGTGCCCACCTTGGGCTCCCAAAGTGCTGCATTTACAGGTGTGAGCGACCACGCCTGGCCCAGAATCTTTCTTTAGAGTCAAGAATCCGGTCACAGACACCCATGTCCCATGGCAGGAACTGACTTCTGTGACTCAGGTCAGAAAGGTTTTTGGTAGCGAAACCCAAAATCAAAAAGTCACAGCCCCTTTTGTCTAGAATAAACATGACACTCTTGTTTGTTGAACATTTTGCTTTTCTGTCATTGTGATTGTGGTTTTGTAACTTAGAATTTGCCAGGTGAAAACACTACACACAAATAAGATCTCCTTGGCCTGTGGTCCGTTCTGCCAGTCCTATAGTACAGGCAAATGTTGAATACTCTAGCAAAATAAAAATTAAAAAAAACTTGAATCCAAGCCATTTTAGTTCAACAAATGTTTATTTAAAATTTACCTTAAAAAAACAAAACAGCAACTAGCCGGGTCTCTGCTTTTTCATTCAGTGTAAATTTGTAACTTCCCAGGCATAGCAGGTCAAGTTGAAACTTGAGGCAGATGTCCAGGTAATTCAGGCCAAAATCTTGTTATAGAAGAAAAGTGATTCAGGCTTGTTTTTGAACTGAATTTTCCAGTGTTTTCTTACCCCCTTTAAATCCTTTAAATGTACAGTTTTGGTTCCCTTTACCTGTGTTGATATGAGCGGATTC